AACAACTATCGGTTTTATATAATCTTTAATAACGACTAGATATCACTCGAGACAGTATAATAATTTTTAAGCCAAAAAAAAGATGAGATTAAACTTGATTTTTGGAATTCATTTGAGTAAAACTTTGTAATCGAATCTTTAGTGGATATTTTGTTATTTAAAGATTAATAAGCTCAATAATGAAGTTTGTATTAGCAAAAAACGAATAGTAACTATATGATTTGAAGCAACAAAAGTTATAGGTATTCATAGTCTGAAATTGAATTTTTGAACTAAAGACAAGCTCATTTTTGTATTAGTTGCTGAAGTTTTCCTATTGATGTTTAGAACTGCAACTGATCAATCTCTTGTTGGCATATGTACATTCGGTTCGAATTGCCTCGATATTGCATTCATTCAGAAGCATTATAAGCATAAGCTAGTGACCATCTGGACTCAGTAGCTAAGTGGCTAACGCGACGGCGTTTGAAGTGAACGGTACTGGGTTCGAGTCCAAGAACGAACACCAACTTTGAGATTCAGGCAAAAACATCTGACGAACCTCAAATAGGACGAAACGCGCTTCTTTGATTTCAATACTAGACACCATTATCTCTGCCTATAAATACAAGTTATTTTTTGAACTAATGGCTTTCTTATCAGTTCTATTGATAAATATTAACGTTTTCGTTTCCAACTAACATTTTGTAGCAAAGCTATAAAACATGGATTCAGTAAATAGTTGCATGATCAAATACTGTTATTCTACTATGAATATTACTTGCACACTATTGTATGTGACTTTATTTCGTTTTATCTTCAATTTTGTATTCATTAAGATGCTTTAATTTACGTTTCATTAATTTTAATAATGTGCAATGCTGGGCAACCTAGATACGCGTAAATTTATATACTTCTCACTTTGCGGGATATCGTCTTTTCTATTATTTAACTGATAGACTCATTTAGAAGGAAATTATAGTATATCTAATCCTTTAGAATTTCTCATACAATTTGAGCGTGCATTTGTATAATTAGATTACAGAAATGTGATATAATATTTTTATATTTTATAACTTGTCCTGTTGAGTTATTGCAGAAAATCAATTGTATATTCCGTTGAAAACCGATATGATACGACAAATATTTGCCGGTTCTATTCTTGTAGATGTATTTATTTCATTGTGATATATCGCTGATACATGGTCATAACAGGCGAACAAAAGATGAACTGATGGCTATCAGTTTGCTTGATACATAATCATGTTTCCCTATCACTTCAGTGCAATATAACACAGTTTATATCTAGCTAATGTAATTTCTTATAACATAGTTAAGAATCATTATTGGCTTATAAAAATATTACAGGTCTAAGCAGGATAGAATTCAATCTGCACTAAGAAGGACTTGAGATATATGACATTCATAACCACCCAGTGATCAATCAGTTGTCGTTACATCTCACTCCTACAGAAGGTCGGTCGCAGCCCAGATAGTGTCTCTGACTGTGTAGCTGGGTGATAAGGGATCGGACCCGTCAAGAAGCATCAGTTCCCTCATAATCACAGGTACACCTTGCTGACAGATGTTAAGTAGCTACTCTTCTTGAAATCCATACAACTTATAGATATATTTCGTTGGATCTTATGTATCATTTGGTCGTATAAACAAAGTTAAACTAAATAAAATGTTATAGATTCAATAGTGCAATACATGAAACGATTATTATGATTGCTATTATTATTATGCTTATAAACTTTTATATTAAAACATGAGACATCAATGTTATGGCCATTTTGTTCATTATCTTACACCGCAGTCATTCATATAATGTACATACTTACTTACGCTCATAACACCTAGTGGATCATAAGCAACCGACTTTGATTCACCAACTAACTCTGTCTTGTGCTCTCCTTCCATTTGTTTCCAAGTTTTATTTATTATCTTGATGTTTATCACCAATTCCAGAAGAATTCTTCTCATTGATCTGTCTCTTTTCTTTTTAACTTCATGAATCCAAGTTAAGGCTTACCTTGTGAAGTTGTTTGATAATGTTCGAAATATATTTCCTATTCATGTAATATGCATAATTCTTCTACTAATCTTTAAAATTTAATTCATATTCATTTATATTTCAAAAATGTGCATTTTATTTATCTGTCACTATTCAAAATATATATATATTCAACGTACCGTTAAGTAACTATGTATAACCATTGAACTAAAATTGTAAAACATTTCCGTTGTTCTATTTTCATTCCCCTTGTTATTGAAAGAGAAAAATTTTGTTTTAATTTTTTGTTCTTCTAAACTATTTGAATTGGATGCTTTTCTTTTTCTTGTCTCATCTTTTTTTTTAAACATCAATATGTTGATTATATCATAGAAATATTGATCAATATTAAAAATAGAAAAAAAATAATGCAATAATAACTTGAACAGAAAAATGGAAACAAACACAAGTGTCATGTCATATTAATTTACGTTACAGTTAACTTCGTTGAAGTATTAAGTTTTCTTAAAAATGTCAGTAACAGAATAACAATGACACGAAATGTAACACTTTTCTTTTCTTTTTTTTTTCTTTTTTTTATTATTTGAATGTAACTAAAATATATATACAAGTATTATTTAGTTATTTGTAGTTAAATGTAAAATACTTTTAAAGAGATAAATTTATATTTATATAGTAACCATGTTGATTGGTGAGAACTTTTTGGGTTAATGTTTAAAATATTTTTATATTGTTATATTGGGTGACATGGTTTAGAATCGATCACAATAGTGTAAGTGTATACACACTTATTGTCTTCCCTTAAACCGTGAGAATAATATTGCTTTATAAATTTCTCTTTCTACAAACTAATTGTTTCTTCTTGTGTCATAACGTTATAAATAATCTTTCTTTTATATATATTACTACTATTGAAATAATTACTTCTATGAAGTTTATGTTTATCTTGTTGTGCTAATGAGGTGTAACAACTTGGACCGATGCATATATGTGCCTGGCTTTACTCTCTGAGCTGGATGGTTTAGTCGTGGAGCTTTCATTGTTTTTCTGAACGACATCATCAGTGCAAACTTTAGATAGAAGTGAAGAGTTCGAATTTCTCCATATGTGGTTCACAGCTTGTCCTGTAGACCTCGGTGTTGATTGGTTCTTGTTGACTTTAAACTTGTCATTATTTACTTCTTTGTTTCGGTTATATCTCCCATTGGTTTGATTTTTGTTCCTATGTTTGTCAATAATTTCCCCGATTGATTGATAAATTGTATCAATTTTAATGTGCTTGTTGATTGCTCATTGACATGAGTGCCAAGCTTCTAAAAATTCTCTGATGTTTTTGGAATTACCTCTATCCAAGATTTCTACATTTTTCCAGTCAAATGAGTGTCCGCAGTTGTCCACGTGCCTGGTTTTACGTTGTAGCTTACTGACTCACTGATATTGTCATTTAAAAATATAATAGTTGAATTCATGAGTCAATTAAAGCTAGATCATCATGGAAAACCTGAGAGCACTGGACGGCCATTACATCCTAGTATGAGACTTCTTAACACTATGCATCCACGACCTCGCCTCGCAGGATTCGAACCCAGGATCTATCAGTCTCGCGTGCGAACGCTCAACCCCTAGACTATTGAGCTGGCATCCAATGATGTTAATGTCTAACTTCAACCAATTCATGAAATTGTACAATTTAAAAGTTTATTTTTATTGTAATATTTTTAAATTTGTCAAATGTGTAAAATGGTATTTTGAAACTTTACACAATTTTTTCCTACTTCATAACACAGTCATCTAAGATGAAATGTTGACAAATCATTTACTATTTTTTTATACTGTATATATTGTGAATCATCAATTAAGATCATATAAGTAATATGAAATTGTCCTACTGATTGATTCATTGTATTCAATTCTGTTTTTAGAACATTTCTTACTAAAGTGCTTATAACATGAAAGCATTAATATAATTCGATAAGTATTTATGAGTATTCCATTAGAAATGTGTACTACAGTAGATTATCTTAATTCATTTTTTATGCATAATCTACATAATATAGATTTATAAATAAATATTAGAAGTACCGAATGTTATTCTGTTAGTAAGTTGTTGATCAACCGAATTACAACTTATTAAGGTATTAAATTCAAGTATGAAAGCCTAATGACATAATATTAACTCAGTATTAGTAAAGATGTTGATTTATTATATAAGTTATTTCGTATTGCAAGTGTTTAGGTAGAAAGAAATAAAATGAAACTAAAAAATCCAGTTCTTCGTTTCTACCTATGTATATCTATTGGTTAATTTGCAAGCATAATTGTCAGTACGAGCTACTGAATATTTTTAATAGTTAAATTTGTTTGAAATTATTCTATTATATTACGGCTTACACAATTTTTTTCTCGGGATTCCAGTTTGTCAGTTAAACAATTACATTATATGTGAATGATATGTTATTGATGAAGAATAACAGACGAGTTCGTATCTAAACTAGGTAGATTTAGGCAAAGATAGATAGTGGCTGACAGTGGAATACAGGACGCGCGTTTCGTCCTATTTAGAAATCGTCAGCTAGATCTACCCGCATCTCAGAACTGATGTTCACTCCGGGACTCGAACCCATTACCGTTCGCTCTGAACGCCATCGGACTACCCACTTAACTACTGAGTCGTGAAAGCCACCTGCTTATGCAATGGGGTGAAGTTTAAATTCACTTGGTGTTGTTTTACCCGTATCTTCCTATTGTTATTTAGAACTGCAATTGATCATTCTCTTTGCATAAAAATAGCTTACGACCTAAGGTTATATCGAGGGAATCCGCACGGGATGCACGTGTGCCCACAAATCATAAACGGATAGAATCATGTCATAGTATTTTTTCACGAAGATTATTCGTTAAAAAAATACCCTCAAAACCGATCTATTTCTCACATGTGTGAACATGAATTATTTAATCTTGTTACTTACAGAAATATTTTTTGCTTATTATCTAAAATGATCAGGTTTCAAATGGAATACCTGAACTACGTTTTGATAATATTGTAATTACGTTAAGTTCACTAAACATTTCGGATGGAAATTGGCATGTCTTTGAAGTTACATTTACATCAAGGTGAGTAAATTAATTTTATTGAGAAAGTGTTTAACTATAAAACATTGAATTTATTCCTATGAAATAGTACTGTTTGACAGGTTAGAATATAAATTTTAATTGATAAGTAAACGAGTATTTCAGTCAGTATATTCATTTGGTACTATGATATCAGTTTTATCACTTTAGAAATCCTTATAAAGTTTTCAAAAACAAAGAATATGTGAACGGTCAATTGTTTACAATAACTTAGTCATCAGACTCTACAGTTATAAGTTCATAATTAGTGTGTCATTTTTTACCAAGGCCGAAATAAGCCATGCTAGTAAATTAAGCAATGTTATATTCATTATGAAACCATGGAAAGTGTTGAACATAATTAAGATAATGAATTGACTAATGGTCATGGGTTCAAGTCATGCTTGCGAGATCGTGGATGCTCACTGCTGAGGAGTCTCGTACTAGGGAAAAACGGCCGCCCTCTGTATCCAGGTTTTCAATGGTAGTCTAACACTGATCGGTTCATGATTATAATGTTATATGTTAAAAATAGTGATTTTTCACATCCGTTACGTCATAAATAAAAATGTGTCACCTGTATATTAGGAAGGTTCGTCACAATGTGTCTATTTTTTAACCAGTATAATAGTAATAAGATAAGGTTAATATAATGCGAAGTAAGAAAATTTTGTCTTGGTAATTTTGTGTAAATATAATATGTATTAAGAGAGATACTATCAAGGTATTCATGATAAGGATTCGTGTGAATTGGAAAAGATGAACGTGTAGACTGAGAATGGTATAAATGCAGAAAAGATCGAGAGAATGAGAGGTTTATAATATCCAGTTTAGATGTCTAGTCATCCAGTTATGGACCAAGGTTTAACATACCTCTTTTCGATACATAAGTTGAGCTATTTGGAGGCAATCCAGATTACTTTGGCTATGTAAAAGAATTGTAATCTAGCTCCTTTAGATATATTACCTGGAACGTGATATCAAACAGAGAAAGCTTCATTTATTTTAGTATAATCCCCACTATCTATCAACTGAGAACGGATGGGGCTGTTAATATACTTGGTAAATTCCATTTGCGACTATGGTGGTACATGTTCACAAGTACACAAGGATAAAGCTTTCAGCGTATGATCAATCTAACTAACTCCACAGGAGGTCTTTGTAAAATAACACAATATTTATGGACTCATAACTGTAAAGCCTAATAACAAAGTTATTTCAAATAATTGTTCACTTAAACATTCTTTATTTCGAAATCTAGTTATGTATAATATCATGATTAATCTAGAGAAAATTTCATCCGAAATTATTGATTTTTCTGAGAAACATATGTTATTAAAAGTTGGGGTAATAAAGTATCAGAAAGTTATCGGCCTTTTTCAAAGAGTTTTCTCTAAACTAAGAATATTCTCAAATCTATAATAAATAAAGTGTTCGTAATAAAGACACAGAATCGATATAAAGCTTCTTGATTTATTATGGAAGATTTGAACAATAAGATATTTAAAAAAACAAAAAGAACAAACAAACAGATATTCATGAAATTCAGTATATTGTACAACAGGAAGGTTTAAAAGCTTCTACTACCATCATAATAAACGATATAGAGTATTCATTGTTGTAATAATAATAATAATAATAATCTGTAATAACTTTTTCACATACTTGTGCAATTAGATTCGTTTAGTTGTTAAACAAATAAGTTAATTCATTAATTCTTACTAGTCAAGTTTCCAAGAATTTAAGGATGTTAAAACTTTGAAGTAAACATAAACTATTTGCAAGTTATGGTAGTAACAAATTAGATGGTGGTTGGAGGTAGTCGACAGGAAACCGTGGACCCAGATTTCATGCTACTTAGCACTTGTCAGCACGGTGCACCTGTAATTTTGAGGAGACGGGTGCTCCCTGGAGGATTCGATCTCGTGTCACTCAGCTTCGCAGTCAGAGACGTTACCACTGAGCTATCCGAGATCCGACCGACCTTCTGTAGGACTGAGATGAGAAACACCAAGTGATCAATCAATTGTGATTATATATATATATATATATATATATATATATATATATAGTGCCCGCAGTGTCGAGTCACCTAGACTGATGGCCACATTGCAACATGATCGATAGCATTCGATCTGCACTAATAAGGACTAGACACGCATGACATTGATCACCATCCAGTAATCAATCAATTGTGGTAGTAACAGATATTTATTATATTCTATTAGTCTGAATGTTTCAGTGATTTATTCATGAGATAGAAGTTAATATTTATTAGTTGTTCAAAATACTCATGTCATGTTTTAATAATTATGTGTTCACAGTCAGAAATGTCAAGAAGTTAAGCAATAACTTTAAGGTTCACTGAATAGTTTACAATAAAAATGCTTCCAAACAAATAGTAGTATAAATAGTTGGTAAGCTAGTGATAGATATTTCTAGTTTTTTACTTAAAAATACTGAATGAATATTAAACCTTTTGTAGAATCAATTAGCAACCAATGACCTTTATCAAGACTTAAAACATTTTTTCTTTCAAAAGATTTTTAGATTTTCAGGTCGATGAACTAGATAAAATATATTATGATTCAAGATATTTTCCAGAGAAATCAATTTCAAGAGGTTCAGTTGATATAATTATTGCAAACGGAGCTAAAGACAGTAAGTTTCATAAACGTTTTTTCATAAACTAATTGATGCGTATTTGTGATCTGTAAGGACGTATTAGTTTACAAGATATACAAAACTTGATGAAATGAATGTTGGTTACATAGTTGGTGGTAGGAATTTAAAGACGTATACTTTCGAGGTATCAGAAAGTTTTTTAAACAAAATATCATGGTGAGAAAATCACTAAGTAATTTATAACTTTTCATTAAGCATTAGATTTGATAACTCATTATGTAATACAATTATCAACCTAAGGGTGTTGGCTTGACTTTATGTAGAAAGTTATGGAAAGTTAAGTGTTGATTTAGTGACTCAAAGGCCACTAATAATTTAATTTGACCCTTTAACAGTTTAGTCAGCAATACCTATTGTGTGAACTACATGACGTCAGCTTAGAGAAAACCAAATGATTTCCCAAATCTACTACAACAAATTACCCAACTATTGTCATTTCATTCCCCAATATACACTATATCTATCAACAATATATCTCAAGATCAACAATTATTCATAACCATTTATTATGATAAGAGATTGCCATGATTATTCATTTAGGTAATTATGACCAAATTTGTTTGTCTGAATAAATTTCAGTCGTATATGTTACGAGTTAATTTGTTTTGATCTTTGGTAAGTTACGTATTAAGAGGACTAAAACAGCAGCTTCTTTGAATAGCATAACAAATTATACCACAGGCCTGTGAATTCAAATTGGTTGTCATTACATTATAGATTGAATGTAACTAGACAATCGTCGAAAGCCAGAAAGCACTGGACACCTGCTTTACTCTGGTATATAACGCTTCAGAAAATTGAACTCATGAATTCACATGACATTGACCTACAGATCTCCAGGTTCATAGAAAACGCTCAATCCGAAAACCTGAATGTTCTGGATTCGATCTCTGTCAGTGTTGTAGATGTTTACTACCGAGAGGTAATGCAATAAAACAAAACAGCTTCTCTGGGCATTCCAGTTTCTATCTATCTTTTAACTAAAGGGAGTGTGTGCTATAATCTAAAAATCAGACTGTCACCATAAATGTTCAATATCAATATTGATCGTTAAGAATTGTTTTTCGCGCACTGTCCCGCTAGTTTCCTACTTCGTACTCATCTGGCATAAAAGAAATTAAGTTGTATTTTACTGCATGCCTACAAAACGATCAGAAATCACTCATTAGTTTATAGTGAATCGTTTATTATCCTTTATCTATTTATAGCATGTCTGGATGATGCTTGGATCGATTTCCGTAATATATGGCCTGATTTTGAACAAGATTATCCATTGGAAATCATTAGTAACCCATCATTTCAACGGTATACAGACTGGGGTACAGTTGGCAGACAGTCAGGTTGTTCAAGTGGTCCTGGGTTTTGTAATAGTTCAAAAAGTCTTTGTGATATTACCGCTTCTTGTATAGAGGAATGGAGAAGTTATCGATGCGAGTAAGTTTCTAGGTGATGTCAGTTATTATTTGTAAGCTAATTAATTGTGCAATGTCCAATTAAGTGCACTGCTATAACAAAACCGTCGTTTTTTTAAATTAACCATCTTTCTTTGGTAAATTTAGAATTCGTTTAAGAATACGTTGAAAATATACTATTTATATGAATGGAATTTTCATACCTATAATTTGTAAATTTCATGGGATTTTACTATTCCGAGTTTACTTTCACTTATGTAATATGATTTAAATACGTTTTTCAGTGTTATGATAAATGTCTTAGTTGTAATTTCATTTGATAACTCTCAATCGCTTTACTGGTATACGGTGATGTTAGGTTAATACAATTATTGACATAAACTTTCGATAACTATAGTCAGATGTTTAAGACTAATCGGGTACAATGAATCTGATAATGATACACTGTGAAATGATTTGAAAATTCAGTCATTCAGAGTAACCTTAAAAGAGGAACAAGATGATTTGTTTTTAGCTTCATAGTAGCCGTAATGTATGATTATATAACTGAATATATATCCGCATATCAGTTGGCTGCAGTGAAAAAATTCGCAACCATTAATGATTTGAAACATTTTTCTATCTTTTTCATCGATCGGACTCAGCTAATATGATAATTACAATAATACAATCAAGTACATTAGTTTCAGTACCAAAATGGGATAAGTAAACATTTCTAAAAGTATATTCAACTAAGTAACTTGCTTGTATCAACTCATTATACCATAATCAATAAAGTTAATTAATAAAACACGGAATTTCATCAATAATCAAATGTTGAGTTTCATTAAAACATTAATTTTGTTTTTCAACATTGAATTACATAAGAAATTTGTAATTATAACATTTTAATGCGCTTGTATTCGGAACGTTACTTTTTTGTTTAACAGTACAAAACAGAAGTGGTACTAAGTTTACTAATGATGAATTAATGAAAAAAATGATTCCATTGATGAAATTTCAAATTTTTTCCTAGATGCTTGAATAACACAGTTAAAGATGATAAGGGTAAATGTGTTCCATCACAATGTTATCCAAACCCATGTGTTAATGGTGAATGTCATGTACTTAATGGTGCTAGTAATTTTACATGTATTTGTTATGGAATTTGGACTGGACCATTATGTAATCAAGTTTCAAGCGTAAATATAGCTGGTCTAAGTTGGTGGTGGATTCTACTTGTTGTTCTACTGCTGTTAGCGATATGTGAGTCACGAAGTATCTTTTTTCTTTAATCAAACATGTATTTACGTCGGTACTTGTAAACTGCTCAAATCTATCCGACATATATATAATACGTAATCACACCACCTAGACAAAACGATTGTCATTAAATCTTAAAACATTAATATTAGACCCTTTATGATTCCTCTATTCTTTAATATTCAGTTATTAAATTCATTTGCATATGCTGTTTAAACTTCTTCGGCAGAATTCATAGGAATTACTTATTCATAAGTCTTTTGAATTTCGTAATAAACACACACACACACACAAAAGTCATGATATTTTTGATTTATGGAATAATAGTAAGATGATATAAATGATTCTTTACTTATTCTGTACGGGAATTATGCTTTTTTCTTTTTTTTTGTTCTTCTTATTAACTAAAGTTAAAAGGAATTACAGTTTTCGAGTCATTTTTGTAAATCTGTTCAAAAATTAATTAAGCTTGTAATAAGTCTATAATTTATTAAGAATTTATAGAAAATATGATTAAGTAACTAAGGTGATTATTTGGAAATATCCTATACCTTTTTTTTTAAAATGTAGTTTATGAGTTATATACATATTTAGGTATAATTATCTAAGGAGTTTAATGTTTGAAGTGATTTTTTTAAAAAAAAAGATCCAAATAATAAACACACATCAGATGCATAAAAGTACATCTGAAAAAAATTATTCTGTAGTGGTTTTACTTTGTTAATCAATCAACTTGGTAACTGTTATTATTATAAATCTCAACAGTGTTTGAAATCAGAAGGCAATAAGAAGCAGCAACTATAGTTTATTTACGGATAGCACAGATAACATGGTTATAAGCATATAAAACGAAATTGAAGTAGAGAGGTGAATGTGTGTTTGAAAGCGAATACAGAGGTAAATTTATAGTCAAATCGAATAAGGCGCATGTAGTCAAAGCAAAGGCTAATAATAGGATTTAAGTACTTATATACATGGAAAAGATCGATTTACATTTTAGCTAGAGATATGTGAGTATGCTGTCATATGTTATCAAGCGTACACGTTGATACGGACAAGATAGTGATCATAATAGTACAAGGAAATATGCAAATTGTTACTATATGAATAACATTGTTTGTTAAGTAAGTTAATAAAAGGGTTCAAGCAAAATTAAACTATAATGGAAATTGATTTTTAGGAGAGTTGTTATAATCTCTAGTACAAAAATCATGATATTATTTTTTTATTTATTCTTAATTCATTTAGTGTTGGCAACAATTTTTTTAATTATCTGTTGTCGCAAACGTCGTGCGAAGAAAAAATCTAATTTAATTGATTTTAACAATGAACTGAGTGATCAAAAGTTGGGTATAGATACTCAGATGAATGATCCATGGAGTACAGGTAATATATTTATAAGTTTTTGTTTTCAGAATTTATATTTTGGTAACATTATTTTGTAGCAATCTCCTGTAAATACGCTGAAAAAGTGTTTTTTGATCAGTACAATTTTTGGATGTTTACAGTTTAAATATTTTTGTCAAGCTTTTGATGTGCTTTTGATGCGTTTCATCTTGCTTAGAACTTGTCAGTTGGATGTACTTGAATCCGAGTTGGTGTTCACTCTAGGACTTGAAATGACTACATTTTGCTTCAAACACCGCTGTGTTATTCACATAGCTACTAAGTCTTGATAATCACCTGACTCTAAAGTGAGGGCGATCTCGATTTCAATTCATATGTAATGATCGTGTGAATCTTACCACTGATGTTTAGGACTACAGTTGATCAGTTTTATACATATATGCCGAAAATTGACTGATCGGTTGTAGATCTGAACATCAATGGGCGATCCAACTAACCAATATTTGAGAACTGAAGTTATGTTCTGAAATAGTTTAAAGTAAAAACTTAAAGACAGTGAATGAAAACAGTCAAGATTTAAGCAACCGGTTTTTTAAACATATTACATTCCAGTCATTTGCATTTAGACAATGATTATCAGATCTATTATTAGTGACATGACTATAGTGAATTAAATTAACCTATCCGTTTTTCAACTTGATTTATGTCCGACTGACGTCAATTGTTCAATAATCACTCTTATTCAAACCTTTTCTCGTGACGGAGACATTTACTTCCTGCATTTGTAGAAGATTAATGTGATTTCTTAGGCAGTTAACTTGTAATCAAGATGGTTATGAATAAAAAAAATCCGGTCAAACGGAGCTATGATTAACAACCATTTGAAATTTATCAAGTTGGCATCAATGTTAGATAACGGAAACGGAGTTTAAATATTTGCTGTTACCATCAGTTAAATGTTCGGTTATAAATAACAACACTTTCTTATTTAAATAAAGTAACTTTTATAACATGAATGGATTGAAAACGTTTCTTAAAAGGTATTGAGTAGCACCTATTTAATCTTTAGTCAAATGAGTTCCAATAAAAATTCTACAGATTTTTCTTTTATATTTATTGTTTCATTGTACTTTCATTGTTTATAATTTTAAATGCATTTAAGGTGAGAAAGATTTCCATGGACCGATTGATTATTCAGTGTTAAAAGGAAATATTAATTCTAACCCGTATCAACTTACAACCAATGAGTCCTATCAGAGTAATGGTTACTTACCAACAAGTAGAAAATCAGGTAAATAAACAACATAGAGAGTGTATCACAATATTTTAATGCAAATTTACATAAATAGGCTTTCAAAATGCATAACCTTAATCGACGTGAGTCCAATCTGTGTCGGCTAGAGACAATTATCCAACTCAGACAATGAATGAAGTATTGTGCACGATCACGGATTGATTGGAAGTAGACATTAACACCGTTGGATACCGGCTCAGTGGTCTAGAGGTCAAGCGGCCGCGCGCAAGACCGAAGATCTTGGGTTTGAGTCTTGTGTGCGGGATCGTGGATGATCACTGTTTAGGAGCTCCACACTGGGACAAAACGACCATCCAGTGCTTACAGGTTTTCAATGGTGGTCTAGTTGAGATCGACTCATGAATTCAACTACTTAAACTTCCCTTTAGTTTTGTATATAGTCGTTTTAACTAAAGCATTTTTTAGCAATCACTGTTTGTTTATAATGAAAAACACAACGATTTTTCAATGAATGTCGAAGAGCTGACTTTACAAATAAAATCATTAAATTACCGAAATTGTTAAATCAGATATCGTGTGTTGTGAATGCTAGAAATATAAAATAAAGCTAATTCAAATGCTTTTTTAAAATGATATTGAATAATAAATCTGAATTTTGTTAAAATTTCAAATAGAGTAGTAATTTAATAGTTGAATTCATGAGTCGGTTGAAGCTAGATCACCATGGAAAACCTGGAAGCACTGGAATGCCGTTTCGTCCTAGTATGGGAATTCTCAAGAGTGCGCATCCACAATCATATGAAATATTTATTCAACAAAATCAGAAGTATCACCATGATATACATTGTTAGTACTTTACTTTTAAAAAAATTGTTTTCCTGAACTTATCTTAGGTTGTTTAACTAATCCAGTTCAGTTAACCTAAGTGAATGTAGGTCATGTAAATTGATGAATATATTATATTTTCAACAAATGAAGCTTAATTGAACAGTTTATTATTTATAATGAAATAACATGTTAAATTATTTTACTATTTATTTTTCAGACACAAATGGAAGTATAGATATACAAACATTTCCTAGTGTTACTGCCCGAGCCTATGGACAAAAAACTACAGATATACCACCATGGGAGTCTTTTGATCGTCAACCAAATCCTGCAATAAGATTAGATCAAGTATTAGAATATGGATATGAAGGATATGATGGTAGACCTCCACCAGAATTCTGTCCAACTGAACCTGTTGTATCAACATCTTATGATGATTATATTGGTGATGATGGAGATCTTAATATAGAAAATGTTCAACAATCAATAAAACAACCCATAACCAATGGAAAACTGAATACTTTAAACAAATAAAAGAGTTTAAAATGTACATTATACTTTTATATTCGAACAATAACTAATAATTCAATAATTTCAATTCATATATTCAAATGATAAATTATAACTAACTAAGTAACTAGCTGACTAACTAATAAAGACTGTTCAAAAGAATCCTCAACGTTATTGAATCATAACAATAGCTCTAATGATAATTCATTAATAAAATTATTGATACTTTTATAATGTGTTACATCGTTATTATTGAAATGAAACTTTTTTGTTTTTGTACAATTTAATTTGAATGTAAAAAATTCCCGCCTAAAATTTTCATTTGTGAATAATTCTTTTCTATGTATTCGTTTTTATTCATTTTTGTATTGTCTTCATTTGTAATTCATAATTTTTTTTTGTTTTTTGAAACTGTTCATTGTTTTAATGAAGTATAGAAAGATTAATTAGGATGGATTTATTTAAATCTTTTATAGTGTAATGTTTTTCAACGATATTTCAATCTATTGTATACATTACAGCTATTCTTTCATCATTAGGAATAAAGTAAATTATTCATACAAAATATATTCTAATAAGTACTGTTTAATGAAATCTTAGAAGATACGATTTAAACAAATGAATATATCACAGGTTGAAATCATGAGTCAATTGAAGCTAGACCACCATGGAAAACCTGGAAGCACTGAACGGCCGTTTCATTCTAGTGTGGAACTCTTAATAACAGCAGTGTGCATCCACGATCCCGCACCCCGCGGGAATTGAATATATGTAACTATGAAACAATATAAAAAGCGATAATTATATCAACATAAGGTTGTAGAGATTGTTGAATTTCAGTTGATATTATGAATGGATCAGTGTTAGTTTACCATTGAGAACCTGGAAGAACTAGACGACCGTTTCGTCATAGTTTGATTCTCCTCAGAAGTATGGATCCATACAAGAACGAAATGGACGTCTAGTGTTTTTAGGTTTCCAATGATGGTTTAACATTGATTCATTCACAATATTAATTTAAACTCGATAATTATATGTGTATTGAAACGTGAAGTGGTGTAGAAATGTACTGTAATAAAAAGTCTGGATTAATACAGGGAAGTAATAAAACTGAAACTATGCAAAATCGTCAGTTTCAGTTTGATAGAAGGGTAGATACTTAGTATACTAGATAGACTATTTCAATTTTCCAATTTTTGGCAAAACAATACTGATAAACAATAATAAGCAATGTATAACTGTACAAATATCATACACATGCATTTTTCAATCAGTATATTGTATTCTAACGAGATGAGTAAGAGAAGTGTAGGAAGGAAACTGTCGATCAAGGATTCACTTAGTATTGTGTACTTGAATCTTCCCATTGATGTTTAGAAATGCAATTGATCAGTCTCTTATTGACATATGTACATACTCTGCGTATTGCCCCGATATAGCCCTAATTCACAAGTATTATATGCAAAAATGGACATCGGCTAGCAGTGGAATCCAGGACGCACGTTTCTTCCTGTTTAAGACTCGCGAGCTGTATTTACCTTTATCTCAGAGTTGATGTTCACTTTGGGACTCGAACCCAGGTAATATTGAGGCAATACGCACAGTATGCACATATGCCAATAAGTGACTGATCAGTTGTAGTCCCAAACACCAATGGTTACGATAGTCACGCAGATCTGAACCAAGTAGTCTGCCTCTACCAAAATGGCTAAGATTAAAAGTTAGCCATGAAATGATCTTAATATTAAATTACCAATTAAAGAAAACTGTATGCTCTTAAACTAGGATGATATAATTTGAATTACTTGAAATATAAAGAATTTTGTATAAAAAAAAGAGGCTATTCATTTTGTTATACTACAGTTTAACTTGATTTATAACACTAATCCTCATTTCGAATTTACTTAAACAGCATTTTAACAGTAACACTAAACACATACACACACACACTTAAAGTTCATACTATTTCTATCTAAAATATCAACAACAAAATTTTTTTTTACAAGAATACAATTAAGAAACCATAAGCGATTGATGTATATAAAATACAAACTATCGTATTCTTTATAAGCAAAGATGGACAATGGCTAGCAGTGGAATCCAGGACGCACGTTTCGTTCTGTTGGGAAAATTCAAGTAAAACAATATCAAGTGAATTAAACTTCAACCCATTGCACAAGCAAGTGGCTATCAGGACTCAGTAGCTAAGTGAATAACGCGATGGCGTTTGAAGCGAACGGTACTGAGTTCGAGTCCCAGAGTGAACATCAACTCTGAGATGCAGGTACATCCAGCTGACGAGTCCCAAACAGGACGAAACGCGCGTCCTGGATTCCACTGCTAGCCACTATCCATCTTTGCTTATAATGCTTGTAAATTAAGGCAATATCGAGGCATACGCACAGTATGCACATATGCCAATAAGAGACTGGTCAATTTCAGTCCTAAAACATCAATGGGAAGATTCAAGTAAAACAACACATACACACACTTAAAGTTCATGCCATTGCTATCAACAACAAAATTTTTTTTAATAAGAATAGAATTAAGAAACCATAAGCAATTAATGTATATCAAATACAAACTATCATATTCTTCTTTCCCTTTATCTTTTCATTTCTATACTACATACTAAACCTAGATGTACTCGTAAATACTTGAGTTTCTTTTTTGCAAAAAAAAAAAAGAAAATAGTTCACTATGAATTCTCAAGAGAATATATGTAAAACAGTTCACTTATTTTATACATTGATATATTGTTCTAATATATCATTGTGTTAAATTGTCATTTCACTTGAATTTTGAAATCTTATAGAATATATACATTTCAAAATTCAATGGTGCATAATGTGTTAAATTATAATATGATAGTATAATAGTATAGTTTATAAAATGGAACTATACATCGAACTATATCGACAAATTATTCTAGTTAGTCTATCGTGATAATATAATGAGGTCAATCATAAGAAGTAAATGAAATGATTATAGTAATTATTATAGTTTATTTTTATTTAAGCTTTTGTGAACTTCCTATAGTTTTGAATGTATGATTATTTTCATGATATTGGTTGTGTTTTTTTTTTAAAATTTTCTTTCTAATTTTTAGTTAAGATCATGAATTGATCACTGTTAGACTATTACTGAAAATCTGGAAGCATTGAACAATTTTGTTCTAGTATGTAAATTCTTAACAGTGTATATCTGTTAAGTCCCGACAAACACAATGAATGGTTACTTTGGGATCCTTTTATGGACCAATACTAAACGTATATTTTTATCGTGTAATTGTTAAATAACTTAACTATTCATATTCATGTTCATCTTGTTATAAGCTTTATTTTGACCTATGAACCATTATTATACGTTTTACCAATCTTGTATATTAGACACTGCCTCACACATTCACAACCACATTTGGCCAAGTTTTGTACAAATGTTTTTTTCCTAGTTTATGCTACGTTGTTGTCTGTTTGATTGGTAATATAAACTCAGTATGTTTGAAATATAAGGATTCATATTACAGAGGCTGAGACTGGTGTTCGGGACTTAACGGGCTGGTCTAGGTGTAAAGCAGGACCAATCAGAACTCTAGGCTGCTCGCACGTGTTTTACGCGTCCTTGGTTCGATCGATAATTCGCTGCTTCTGATTGGCGGCTTTGGGCTATAACAATATCTGCGATACCCCACGAGACATTCTCGAATTATTAGTTACAGTACCCCACATTCATAGCCACTTTTGACCTGATCATGTATAATTGCTATTTTCTATTTTAGGGTATGATGCAGTTTTGTTTGTTTATATAAAAGTCACGTATGTCTGAAATACATGATCTATATAATGGAGGCTGCTATTTGTGTAATGGAATACATTGTCTGGGTTAGGAGAGAAGCTATTTTCTTGGAGAACCAATAAGACTCAGAGTTAACTCCAGGCTGCTTGTACTGGTTTATGCGTCGTTAGTCTAGTCAGTAAGTTGGTGTTCTAGTTGGCGATCGTATCGCATGATATATTCGCAGTGCATAAGGATATTTTAGTAGCCCTGAATCTTCCTCCAATCAGATCGTGCATAGTTATAGACTTTAGTCTCGTTGGTGAATAAAGAAATTAAATAAATCAAATACGAGAAAGGATTTTGAATACGCATATTTCATATAATCGTTGATCCTGACAAAAAATCAGAGAAACGAAGAAAAGAGAGCAAAGAGGAATGACGTGCAGTGGAGAAGGCGTATGAGCCAACTCCATCAAGTTATGCTACAGACAAGTGATGAGTAGGATAAGAAGTGCACACACATATACTCATCTAAAAGCAGTCAGAATAAATAAGCCAATAATTAACAAGGTCAAAACGTGACTCAAGAAGAATGAATTGATTGGCCTGTTCACAATCTAGAATAGGTTATACGGGCTTAACATAGCAACCGACACTATAACATAACACTTTTGACTATTAAGCTGACATCCAACGATGTTAATGTCCAACTTCAACCAATCTCTGCTATTGAAATATCATCTTCAATTGTCTTCGGTAGGTAACAGCTTCACAACCGATACGGTCGAACTCCATTGGTTACGATTTCTTCTTAATTTGTAAAAACTACTACCACTTATCTTTTTGCACAAATTTCTCGGTAAAAAATGTGTCATTTGAACTTACTTTATCTACGATAGAATATATATATCTTAAACTTTCTAATAACTCAGGTTATCCTTCTTACCATTTAAATAAGTTGTTTGAAAGTTATTTATGAAAATGAGTAAAAAGCTGGTTGGATTATTATTACGAATTTAAGTTGATACTTCAGAAAATTTCCATGTATATTATATAAAGATTTTCTTTAGAGAAAATAAAAGTTGACCACTCATTTGTAAGATTATATTTTGAGATTTCTCAATCTGAATAGTAATTAACATAATAAATCAATTTGAATGTTTATTGATAATAGAGCTAACCGTTACACTTCACAAAATTGATTTGAAACCTTTATTCAAGCAGTTTATTCAATGTACTAAGTTATG